TTTCCATTTGTTTTAATAATGTAACAGACTTTTAAAATCTCATATTTTAACTTATTTAACCATTATTTTAAAGCCAATTTAGCTCATTTTTAAAATTAAAACTTTTAAATATTTCCAAGGAAGCTTTTGGGGTTTTTTTGTTTGTTTCTAAGCATTTTTTTAAATAAAGTCAACAAATGCTTAAGTACTCAAAAATTCAAAAATATTTCTATTTCCTTTATAAATTATTGGCAATTTAACTGCATGTAGAATTCTTGAAATAAAGTTATCCTTTCAAACTCAGTTGACATTCTTTTTCTATTTCCTTGAAGAGCCTCATGCTAGCCCAATTTTTTACTATTTTTTCTGACAGCATTATGTTGGGTCACTTTTGTTCTTCGTTTAATATTTTAGATTCAAATATTCATCTGGTGTAAGTGTTTTATTTGAAAGAAAATCTTTCCTTCTTTCCTCATACTACTCTATTCTACCCAGCCCTAATCAACCACTTATCAATTACCTATCTTTATAGATTGTCCTCTATTGGATATTTTAGATAAATGGAATCTTACTTAGTATAATGTTTTCAAGGGCCATCTATATTGTAGCATATATTAGTACTTCAAATCTTTTTATGGCAGAATTTCATTCACTGTATGGAAATAACACATTTTACTTTTGCACTCATTAGCTGATGAACATTTTTTTTTGTTTCCATGTTTTAGGCATCATAAATAATGCTTCTATGAACATCCCTGTAGAAATTTTTGTGTGGGCATATATTTTCATTTCTCTTGGGTGTATACATACAAGTGGAGTTTCTGGGTTATATGGTGACTTAATGTTTAACCACAAGTCGAATTCCCAGGGTGTTGTCCAATGTGGCTGTACCATTATACATTCCCAACAACAGTGTATGAGTGTTCGAATTTCTCTGCATCTTCACCAATTCTTGCTATTGTGTGTCTATTTTATTACAGCCRTCCTAGTGTAAATTAATATCTCATTTTTATTTCAGTTTGCATTTGATAACTAGTAATGTTGAGCGACTCTTCGTGCTTGCTGAGTATCTTTTTTCTTTTTTTTGGAAAAAAGTTTATTCAAGTCTTTGCCCATTTCTACAATTTGATTGTCCTTTGTTGTTTTGTTGTAAGAAGATTTTTAGTGTTGCATTTTGGATCTTTATCAAAAATGTTCTCTCATTCTTACATTGTCTTCTCACTTTGTATATAGTGTCCTTCAAAGGGCATATTTAAAATATTTTTGAAGTCAATTTATCTATTTTTCTTCTGTAGCTTATATTTTTGGTGTCAGATATATCTAAGAAACTGTTGCTAAGTCAGAGTTCATAAAGGTTTCCTCCTGTTTTCCTATAAAAATTATAGTTTTATATATTTTTTACATCTAGGTTTTTGATCCATTTGAAGTTACTTTTTGCATATGGTGGGAAATATAGCTTTACTCTTCTCCATGTGGATACTCAGTTGTTGCAATACCATTTGTTTAAGAGTCTATGTTCTTTCTCTATTGAAGGATCTTGGCATTCTCAATGAAAATCATCTCACCATAGTGGTATGAGTTTACTTTTTGACTCTCAATTTTATTCCATTGGTTTGTGTTTTGTCCTTATGCCAGAATCCTACTGTCTTACTTATTGAAGTTTTATAGTATATTTTGAAGTCAGGACATGTGAGGCCTCCAACTTTGCTAGTTGTTGTTTTTATGTTTTATAAGATTTCTTTGGATATTTTACATCTCTTGAAACTCCATAGAATTTTAGAATCAGATTTTTCATTTCTGCAAAAACTGTTCTCTGGGATTTTGACAGGAATTACACTGGTTTTGTACACTGTTTGGGGATTATTGCTATCTTAATAATATCATGTCAATCCATGAACATGGAAGGCTTTTCCACTTATTAGATATTCTTTAGTTTCTTTCACTAATATTTTATCCCTTCAGTATAACAGTTTTGTACTATTTAGATAAATTTATTCCTACATGTTGTATTATTTTTGATGCTACTCTAATGAAATTGTTTTCTCTTAATTTCATTTTCATATTGTTTATTGCTAATGTATAGAAATACAATTGATTTTTWAAAAATCTTTTTTATAGTTGTAGAAGGACAGCATGCCTTTATTTAGTTTTTTTATGTGGTGTTGAGGATCGAACCCAGTGCCTCACACATGCTAGGCAAATGCTCTGCTACTGAGCTACTTTATGCTGGTTTTATATCCTGCAATCTTATTCAACTCTTTTCTTACTTATAATAATTTTTAGTGGATACCTGAAGACTTTCTGTGTATGATATCAGGTTGTTTATGAATAGAGATGATTTTACTTCTTCTTTTCCAAAATGAATACTTTTTATTTTTTTTCTAGCCCTAAATATAACCTCTCGGACAATGTTGACTAGAAATTATGAGATCAGATTTTTGTCTTGTTTCTCATCTTAAGGGGAAAGCATAGAGTCTTTCATTATTAAGTACATGTGAATTTTTCATGCATGTCCTTCATGAGGTTGTCTTTCTAGTTTGTTGAGAGTGTTTATTATGAAAGGGTATTGAATTTAATTCTTCCAAGTGTTTCTTCTATCCAATTTAACTTTACCATCTTTTACAAAAAAGAACTGGATAATACATATGAAGTCAGCTTTCTCATCATTTTATCTTTTGTTTCTTGTTATATGTGCTTTATATTCAAGTTTTTAAATTTTTATTTTTAAATAAATGCTTTTTAAAATTCTCTTTTATTTCTTCTAGTAAGTAATTCACCAGTCTAAATGATGCTTTTTCTTCATATCTTGAACACTGTGGTTCTCTTTTGAAAAATATTTATTTTGGTTCATTTTTTCCCCTCTATTTTTTTAGCCAGAACAGGCCAATTGTTCAGTAGTCAAGGTTTTGAGTGTTCTGCCATCCACCTTACTTCTTGTTGGAATGCTGCCCTGGGTCTTGATCTAGAATGGTAATTGTAGTATAAAGGCCCTTGTCAAAGTTCTGTGTCCAACTTTCCCTAATTTAATGTGGGGCACAGGGCTGAGGACTGGTCTCCTGTTTCTAGTGATGAGTTATCTGACTGTCGGCAAGAGGATTTCCCCTAGAAGCTTTGGGGAATGTTCACATATGTGTCCCTAACCAGCCCCCACCAGAGTGCTGCCCTGGCTGCCCCTCCTGCTGCTGTYTCCTCTCAGGACTCCATCCTCAGGGACCACTGCTGTTCAGTTCCTGAGTCTAGAGGGAGCCTGAGAGTGGAGGCAGACTGCAAGTACAGGTTCAAGGGTGGCAAGAAATGACCTTAGCCCTCACCACCCCCCATGAAGCCCCTGTAACAAAAACCAAAACAGAAAAGACTGAGAGATCCAGAGGAGGTTGTGAATGAGGTTAACTTTTCCTCTCATCAGTAAAGGCCCTGCATCTCTGATACCAGACTCAGAGCATCCACCAGTACTTCCTGTGCACCAAGCCCTGTTCTCAGTGCCTTGGGTGCATTTAGTGATAGAGTCCTCATAACCCTCTCAATTATTCCATTTTACAGATCATGATACTGAGGCCCAAAATTGTTTAATAACTTTTCAAGGACACCAACTTCTGAGAGGTGAAGTCAACATTAAACATGGCCTCGCTTTAGGTCCCTTAACCACTCCAGGTGCATTTCCTACTTTAGGTACCCTTGTTCTGCTGGTCCACCCCTTGGGGACATCTGAACTGGGAATATAAATTCTCTTTAGGGACTAGCGGGTTGTGTATAACTTTGCTAGTTCCCTTTGCAGTTGGGATTTTGTGCCACTCTGGGCATTTTTGTGAGTGTTTCAATSAGGAAAATGAATCTAACCCCACTAGCAACTATCATCTTAACTCAGAAATCCTGATGGAATTCTCTGCATATAAACTTGATCTTAACGATCCTTCTTATTTTGTGGATGAGAACAAGGGAACCCAAAATGATTAGGCCACCTCCCCTGAGACATAGGACCAGGCATGGCTCAGAGGGAATGGGGACTTGTCCTTACCTAGTTTCTTCCCTACCACACTCTGCCAGGGAAACTCTCCCAGAATCTGGTCAAGTAGAAATACATCTGTCTTCCCTAACCTGCTCCCAAAGCTACATAGATCCTCAAAAGCCACAGGCAAGACTTGCTTTGATTTTATTTAGCCTGCTTTATTTCCTCTTTCACAGTAAAAATGGAATGCACACCTTTAACTGAGATTTTTCTCAAATTAGGCTGGGTGACAAATGTCTTTTTAAGCTCTCTTATTTGACATCCTATTAATTTTTTAAAACTCCCATTGTTCTCTTCCCAACAGACCTGTTATATTTCAGATGTGAGACAAATGTACACTTAGAGGGAAACTTCTTTAATAAGCTCGTTTGCTTCAGACTACTGAGGTTATTTTAAAAACAAAAACCTAAGTACACACACCAGAATACTCAACGCATCATAAATTTATCTGGCTTATTTATTGATGGAGACTTCTGGGTTAGACTGTTATCAAAGCATAGGATAAATTGTTGAGTATGTGGCATTAATGATTCTCTTGGCATCTCCTTCCTACACAAAAAGAAGCTTTGCCGTTCTGGGGGGAGGCAGCCTCCCTTCCGGCACATGGGGGACAGGCCCCCGGAGGCAGTCCTGCCTCATGTAGAGCTCAGGCAGGCTGCATTTAATTACACACGTCCAGAGTCCCCRAGCAGACACATAGATTGCAGAGACCAGGCGATGCTGCATCCCTACCAACACCAATTATGGTAAACACCAATTATCCAGACGTTAGCCCTTTAATAGAAGTCCTCTGAATTGGTTTTTTAAAGTCAGTCTCTCGTGGTGGAACCAAGCAGGAGGAAAAAAAGACTGGAATAATTGGAGGCTGTTCTCTTTTCAGTTCCCACATAAAATTATCTGAAGAGACAGGTCAGAACTTTAAACAGGAGATGCCAAGAGAAGTTGTGATTTGGATGTCGGCTATTGTGACTTTAGGATGTTTGCTTGAAGATGTTCCCCTCTCCTCTCTCCACAGACGTACTTCAATGACAATATCCTCACCCTGATACGGACCCTGGTGACCGGAGGGGCCACACCAGAGCTCGAGGCTCTGATTGCTGAGGAGAATGCACTTCGAGGGGGCTATAGCACCCCCCAGACGCTGGCCAATAGGGACCGCTGTCGTGTGGCCCAGTTGGCTCTTCTGGATGGGCCGTTTGCAGATTTAGGGGTGAGCTCACAGCCCAGAGGACACCTGAGCACAGTGTTTGGGGAAAGCTTTTTCTGAATGAATTTGGTGTCWAACAGTGACAAACCAGACATCTGACTTTGTCTTCTCTACTATAAATAACTAAAGAGTTGACCTAYGGTTTACTGTGTATCAAGCACTGGTCCTTATATGTAGTCATTCATTTTAATACTCATGACCACCCTTTGATATAGGTTCTATTTCCACACCCTCTAAGCAACTGAGGAGGCCCCAGAGAGCCTGAGAACTGGCCCTGTTAGGAATTTGCACCAAGGCACCCTGGCTTCAGAATCCACTGGGCTTTCTCATATTTTAGTATTTTCCTTAGCGATATTGTTACCCAAGTTGATGCCAGTCTGCTGCCATGGCTGGGAAACCTTACTACAGGATCCTGGCATAGTCAGGGCTACTGAACCCTGACTCTRTTAATAGCACATAGGGATGCCTCGCTCCAGACCTCAAGATCAGAGTTTTTGATGAGCCTCCGGCGGTTTTCAAGGCACTCATGCATCCATGTGCATCCAGATCCCTGGCCAAACAGTGTTTCAAGTGGATCCTAAATGCTTCTGATTCAAACCTAGGTCTTATACTTCCTTAGACTGCACCTGTCACCCTCTGCCCTGCCTTCCCAGTGACTGACGGGACCAGCACTTGTCTTTGGGTGCTAGGTACCAGCTAGCACTGTGCACTTTGGCAGGAATGTGCACTCTGTCCCCACCTCATTCCTAACCCACCCCCATGGAGTGGTTGGAGCCAGGAGTCTTAGGAAACTATAACCTGTTGCATAATCAGTAGTGTTGCCCAGAAAGTCGAACAGTGGAAAAGGAGTCAAGAAAAGCATTTTTAGTTTTTTTCTAAAATATCAATGTCTAGTACTTGTACCATATTTTAGTTTGTAAGGGTCTGGGACTTCAGTTAGACTGTTTGTTTTTTGTTTTTGTTTTTGTTTTGAAAGGGCACTTCCATGACTAGTGGCTTGTTACTTCTCATTTATTTACTGATACATTCAAATAGGATGGAGACTATAAACAATGGTAAGATTGGGCCCCACTTTTATTCTCTAATATGATGTCCCTATGGAAATTTCAGAGATAAGAAGGATAAATACAGTCTCTTTTTGCCAAGTGAAGCCATTCTGCAGTGTCCTTCCTGTAAAGCCCACCTGGAGCCACCTGGCTGCATGAAGCCAGCGTTTCCAAGTGAATGCATTTGCTCTCACTTTCTGAGTCAGGCTCCAGACCATGTGAAGGTGGTTGTGAACTGATAGAACTGTGAATTCCAGTTATTCTGCCTGCAGACCCCCAGCTCCTGGGGAAACACATTCTCTTCCCCCTTGCCATCTCTGAGGTCTGCAAATTGTGCTTTTCACACAGTCCTTACCTGAAAGAGTCTCTCACCATTGGACCTGTTGGGGTCTTTTCCCCTCGCTGTGATTTCCATTATCACTTGGGCAGTTTTGACAACATGGGGTCCAATCACAGTTGCCAYGGCTGAGCTGGGGGCAAAACATAATCACTGTTTTGCAGAGCTGGTTTCTTCTCAGTTGAACATACATCGGAGACCTTCAGCTTTACACCCTCAAGGTAGAGGCATAATCTCTTTAGAGCTCCATTGCTACAGATGGAAAAAGGGGAGGGACTCCAGAAGAAATACCCACTATTATCTGATCCTAAAATTACCCTTTTCAGCTGTAGGCAGTCAACTGTGTGACTTCTTCAGCCAAAGTCCCTTGGCGCAGACCCTATGCTTCATGGGACGACAAAACAAGCTTTTATGGAAAGACTCTTTCCCCCGTGGACCTTAACTTCCAAGCACATAAAAATGATTTTTCTCTCTGTTCTCCCAGGATGGTGGTTGTTATGGCGATCTGTTCTGCAAAGCTCTGAAAACATATAATATGCTTTGTTTTGGAATTTACCGGCTCAGAGATGCCCACCTCAGCACCCCTAGTCAGTGCACGAAGAGGTGAGTGTCCTCCCACTCTGCTGGCCCACCTGATACAGACACACAGGTGCCCTCTTCTCCCCTGTCCCCTAACATGTAGGCAAAGGATGCATACATACTCTCCACAGGCAAAATAYCCTTCCCAGGTAAAATCTGACACTTAGTTTGGAAGTTATGGGAAACATTTTTCTTTACTTAATAGTGGATGTGAAGACATTGTGGAAAGAACTCACATTTTTTAAAATAGCTGTCATCCAGTCACAAAAATCAGAACAGAGACATCTCCCTCAAACTCAAGCTAATGGAATCAACTCTGTTGGTAGCTAATATAGAGATACTTCACATTGCCAATGTTTAAGAAATATTCTTGGCTGTATCTTAGAATCCTCTATGTTTGTTTCATATATTTTTAATTGACTCTCTTTTACATTTTCATATATTTAATTTGAAGAAGAGTGTATAACATTATCTTAAGCAAAAAAAACACAACAGTTTAGGTGTGCTAGTTATATGCATTAAAATAAACATAGCTGGCAAAAACTAGGAGTGCATCCTAGAATTAACCAAATCAATRAGTTTGCATAATACACCCCAAGAAACAATGCTATGGAGTTGTTTCACAACCCTGTATTTTAGAATCAGCCAAAGAGCTTTTAAAAACTACTCTGAGGGGCTGAGGATGTGGTTCAAGCGGTAGCGTGCTTGCCTGGCATGCGTACTGCCCGGGTTCAATCCTCAGCACCACATACAAGCAAAGATGTTGTGTCTGCCGAAAACTAAAAAAAATAAATAAATATTAAAAAAAATTTCTCTCTCTCTCTCTCTCTCTCTTAAAAAAAAACTTATAAAAAAATAAAAATAAAAACTACTCTGACTCCAGGGAAAACATAAATGCATTCAAACTTTAATATATATATTTATATAGTGAATGCCCAGGAATTATAGCATAGAGCCAGAGTTGACAACTGGGGTAGAAAAGTGGGTTCCCAAAGTTTAGGGAGCCTGAGAATCACCCACAGAGCTTATTAAGAACAAATTGCTGGGCCCCACTCTCTGATTCAGGAGATCTGGGTTGCTTAAGAATTTGCATTTTGCAGTGGTTTCCAGGTGGTGCTGACCTGCCTGGCCTGGTCTGAGATGGCTGCTTTAGAGGAACCATAATGATTATTGCAGTCATTCTGATGTGGACTGGAGAAGTCTGATGGAGGAGAGCAATGAAACAGAGTTGACAGACAGGCAGGAAGGCCTTTTATATTCGCAGTAAAACTCCCACCAAGTTGATTTTTCAAAGATGAGAATGGTCTAAGGAGACCCTAGGCAATGTTAGYGCAAGCTCCTGGGAAGTATGCCTGAGATTGTCAGGAAATTCTAGAAAGAAAGTTGCAGTGCAGTCTGTGACCTCTGCTGCATTTGGGTTACTCATGATTAGAAGTGAAACTTGACCTCTTCTGGCCATAACAAGCACAGTTTTGTTCTTCCATTACCTGTTCTAATTTGGTGTCTGCCTGGGCTTGTGGATATGGCCACCTCTGATAAGTTAAACAGAGAACAATTTTTTTGAACTTAGAAGCAGATTTGAAGGTATTAGATCAACTGCAAGTACAGCTCTTAGATCCTCTGGTCAACTTGAGCAGCAGGGAGTGCTTTTGGGCTCAAAGGGTCTGGACTTCACCAGATCACYCTCAGGCTGTGACATCTCTGCTTTCCCTGTCCAGGTATGTCATCACCAACCCCCCGTATGAGTTCGAGCTTGTGCCGACGGACCTGATCTTCTGCTTAATGCAGTTTGACCACAACGCCGGCCAGTCCCGGGCCAGCCTGTCCCATTCCTCCCACTCATCGCAGTCCTCCAGCAAGAAGAGCTCCTCTGTTCACTCCATCCCATCCACAGCAAACCGGCAGAACCGGCCCAAGTCCAGGGAGTCCCGGGACAAACAGAAGTACGTGCAGGAAGAGCGGCTTTGATATGTGTATCCACCGCCACCATGTGTGAAACTGTATCTGCCACTCATTTCCCCAGTTGGTGTTTCCAACAAAGTAACTTTCCCTGTTTTCCCCTGTAGTCCTCCCCCTCCCTTTTTTTACACATATTTGCATATGTATGATAGTGTGCATGTGGTTGTCATTTTTATTTCACCACCATAAAACCCTTGAGCACAACAGCAAATAAGCAGACGGACCAAAAGTTATTTATGATTCTAGGGGAAAAATAACCCAAAGGCATGCTCYAGACATAAATAGCTCACTGCAGGAATGAGTTCACAGATTAGAAAGGAGCACTTGTGATCAAAGTCAGTTAGGCAAAGCAAGTTTATTTCATATACAAGAAAAGTTTATTCTGATTTATCAGGGTTATCAGGGTGCTTTGGGTTTTGATTTTGTTTTCCTTTTGTTCGCTCATTTTTTTTTTTTTTTTTTTGTACACACACAATAAGTTAGCACATGTTTATTTGAAGCAAGCAACCAAAAAGCAATGAAAACGTATCGATTGTTTCCACTCTCTGGGCTGAAGTATCGGGAAGCATCTGAAAAGCTGTCATGGTTTGTGTAGATGATTATTAAGCAGCTGCTTGTTGCAAGAAAGCATTGGAGGTTTTTTGAGTTACTCACCAAGGCCTTTTGTCCCAGAGCTAGAAGCTTCCTTTGGGAGTTCATATGAACATTTCTAATGTTAATACAGAGGAAAGGAGTAGTATTCCACTTGTGGATGTATCAAATTCTAGTCATTTAAGTGAAAAGAGGTTTGATTGCATATTAAATTGTTATTCTGTCTCCTTATGCTGCCATATGAATAGCTATTTTTTTCTTTCACTTTTGACATTTGGGATGAAAAGCCATATGTATCATAAATATCAGATGTAAGTCATTAAAAACTGCCTTCCTGGGACTTTTACATCTTTTAAAAGGTGAATTACTTACCTTATGTACAGAATAAATRATGCTCAGGAAAGAGCAAGTATTTTTCCATGCATTCTCAGGGGACCTTTTTACTCCCCTTTGTTTGGTTAGCAAGAACCCCAATGCCAGGTAGGAGCGAGGGCTGGGGTAATAGTGGAGTGAGAGGGAGAAAAACCCAGCAGCAGAGAATGTTTTTGTCGGAAATGACATGCTAAATAAATTAAGATGCAGAAGGATCAAGCCACCTTGGCCTCAACAAAGACAAAAGCCAGTGGCCACCTAACATTGTTGGCATAGCTGCATGATGTTAGCTATCCCTAAACATAAAGATGGTAGGGAGAAATTCCTCATCCTCCAGTTCATTAACAGCAGGTGGGTGACAATAATAGCTGCTCCTTGTCATTACAAGATGGGGAATAAGAAAAGTACAACAGTGAGCCAAACACATTTTGGTACAGTTATAATTTTTTGTTTGTTTTCTTTCTTTTAAAAAAACAGGAAGCATGGGGGAAAGGAAGAGAAATATCCTTCTTCCAACATAAAATTGTTAGRTGTTTTAGGCTTGCACATCACACTTTAGGCAATGAAGTTGTTCTTAAAAATTGGCCAACTCTACCACAACCAAATTCTCCTGTGGATGGTCTGGCTCTTGGCTGGTATAAACCTATTTGAGCTTTTTACTTAAAAAAACAAAAATCCATTGACTAGAATAGGGGTAGAAAGGAGAAGACAAATGTCATAACTGTACCATCTCTGAAAAGGTGTTTTTATGGTGAATGTTTGGGGTTTAGATTTTGGATCCCCTGCCCCTTCCAGCATGATAGTTTTGGAGATTTGCTTGCTGTGTGGATTGACAAGCACTTTTACTGACAAAATGGTGAGGCTTAGCCAGAACCTCTACCTCCCCACACCAAAGACAGGGGCAGAGCAGCATTTAAACCATCGATGGGGTGGGGAAAAACTGTATACATGTATATTAAAAAGGGCTATGAGTGGAAGAATTTTTTTCAAATGATTTTGTCCCTATACATTTTGATTTATATGTTACGTATAACTATCTGTTTATATATAACTATATATATAAGTATATATATATATGCATATATATATATATATAAACTATATATACATATCCCCTAGTTTGGGATCATGAAGAACTCTTCATGCATTCTTTGCAAAGGAGGTTATAAAGTTACACCCTCAGAACATTTATAACTATAAGAATGTGCCAGTTAAAGTGCTCAACAGGAAATATGACAGTTTAAAAGCATTGTAAAACTCACATAGCTTACTTCTCTCTCTAAAGTGCAACAAGGATGAATAGAATGGGCCAAGGTATGACAATTAATGGTTCTGCATGACCTAGCCACTGCTGGGGGTTTTCTTCTATAACGTTGTCCTTGTGAAAACTTTTGTGAAATTAAAAAAAAAAGGAGTTACAAATTTTATTCTGTTATTGGTTTGTTTATTTTTATTTATATTGTTCTGTTTGTGGTTTTATTTATTTTGTTTTGCTTTTGACCCCCTCCCCCCCAGCCCTTTTCCCCTCTCCTTCTTTTCCCCCCTCCTTCTCTTTCTTCCTTCACCTTCTTAATTGCTCAGCGCAATGAGGCTGTGCGGCTGCTATGGCTAGATTCCTTAGAGTTTGTCTTGGTGTTACTGGGTTTGGGGTTGGGTAATTTGGGGGGACCTCTCTCCATCTGGCTTGCCTTCGAATCTGCACGTGGCCTCCCTGCCCACCTTGGTACCTTGCTCCAAGTTCAAAAGCATTTTCCCATTGAGACACCCAGCTCCCTCCACTCCCCCCCATYACCACCACCCTAACCCAGCCCCCATCAGTCTGTTCACATCTCTGTGTTTATCTTGGCAAAAACTACCAAATTGAATGATGATGCCAGTGGTTAAACTTTTCTGGAAAACATTCTCAGCTATTCCATTTGGCAAACTTACTTCTCTGTTAATATTTTCTCCTCCTTTTATTTAAACCAGGAGGGTCATTAATGGCAAAAGCATTGTTCTCTTTTATGTTTGATAGATATGATGACAGTTAAAACTGGTCAGCTGTATGGTCAATTCGAGAGCCCATACCCCATTAACTGGGGCTGATGACTCATTCTCACTACTACCCAAGTCTCCTGCCACCTGCCTTTTGGGTGTGTTAAATTCCAACCAGAAATTGGGCAGATAGAAGTAAATGCAAAATGTATCCCATGTATAATTCTTCAGCAGCTCTGATGAGTTGATATTGATATTACTGGAATGGGAACAGACTATGACCTGAAATGGAATTTGGGGGTTTTCCTTGGACTTTGGACACACAATTCCCACTGTTAGATACTTGAAAAATGACCATATATTGATAATAACATATTTGATGTTGGAAAGGGGATCATGATTGCTTTTTTCTTCTACTTCTTTTTCTCTTTTTCTTCTTCTTTTTTTTTTTTTAGCTGAAACTTCTCTGTTATACTTTGTTTATTAGAGTGAAGACTCCTTCATTGTTTTCCATTTGTCCTCAAACTTCCCCTCCCTCTCAGGAGAACATTGTTTACTTAGGAAGGAGGCATAGGAGTGTCTCATATTGTGCCTGTCTCCTCACCCCTCCTCACCAAAATAAATAAACAAATAGTTAAGAGTAGAAAGGGAAAGAGTTCTTAGCAGGGAAATTATATGCATTATAAAAGAACAACATCTAGGAACTCAATGATGTGCCCAATTTTAAAAGAAAAATAATGTGTGAGCCATTCAATTCAATTTATTAACTCTTTGAAAGAGGAAAATGTTAAGGAAGCTGGTAGAATAGGAGACACAGGGAACCTTTGTCAGCCTCAGCACCCTGAGAACCATAGAGCCATCAACATCCCTTACGACTACTACAGGGTCCTTCCCCAAACCAGTTCAAATGTGTTCTTATATATRTATAAATTTCTACCACTAACTGGGAGAAGTTGTAAACTCTGTTCTGAATATTTAATGTTGTGACCCAGAACCTTATAATAGCTGCTTAATAAGTATTTGAAAATAATTTGACCTTAAAGATTTTTATACCTTTAACTATTTTATAACTTATCCCTGTACCCTTGGCTTATCTTTAAAAAAAATTACAAGGATTGCCTGGAGGAGCTTCACAATGCTTCTCTGCCCATGTCAGTTTCTCCAGCTGGGTATGACTTCCAAGACAGGGAACAACCCTGTAAGCTCAGTGAATGGAAAGACAGACTGTGCCTGTTGGCAGCATTGTCAAGATCCCAGATGACCATAAAAACCTTTTGACTGGCTCTTCTTCAGCATGGGAAAAGCCTAAAGGTGTCTGCATCCCAATAGAGACAATTAAATCAACCTGCCAGGTTCCTATAGCAACAGGCTCCTTGAAGGAGAAACGGGAGAGTGTAGAAACTTCAGGGACTGTGGAAGTCAAGACAGGGTAAAAATCAATTCTCCATCAGCTTCTTTCAGCCTCTCCCTGCTTTGTCATAACATGATAAAGAAGTAGCTGTGGGCACCTGTCACTAACTGGTTGACTATCTCCCAGGCAGAGATGGCATATTCGTTGCAACCATCAGAGGTGAGAGGGATTATTCCCTGCCACCTGAGAGCAAAGAGTGAAGGGTCTGCCCTCAGGGTTTCAACCGGACCAAGGGCCAGAGAGGAGAGTTGGGAAGGGGCCGTTGGCTCTGCTCAGTGCATGGCAGAATTAGACTGTGAGTTAAAAGAGACAGATAGAGTCATCATGGACAATTGCAGAGAAATAAGATAAACAGAAAATGCTCTCTTTTTGGTAGACAATTTTTCATCTCTGTGAAATAGCCATGTTCTGCCCAGGCAKAGGAAAAGAGGTGTGTGTGGGGGGGTGGATTTTGGGGGGGGGGGCATCAGTTAGGTAGGCGGGGGAAGAGCACCAGACTGCCTGTCAGCAGTGTGAACTGTGAAGCTGCACAGCATTGCCCTTGAAGTTGGATTGCCTTGTTARCCCTTATAGTTCTCCACCGTTATCTCCATCCAGATGGAATCTTTTCCTTCCATGTCTTTGCTCTGTAAACCCCAGCTTGTGGTGCACCAAGGAGARGGCCAATTATTCCAAATGCCTTTGCTGTGTCATTGTCTCCCTCTTTCTTCAGTCTTCCCTGGGGAATAGTTCTGTGAAAAGACTAAATCCCACAGCGCTGACAACCCACAGAGCCAGCAGAGGGTTCACTGTGCAGCTTGTGTCTTTCTCTGCTGCTGGTATTATCCCAAGCAGCTCAGCCTCCTCTCCATAGCCCACTCCTCTGGTTCTCGGTGGACATGCAGTTGTACGGCTGTAGGAAGCCCTGACCTTATTTTAAACCCTGTGATCTCAGGGATGACACTAGTGATAGGAGGTACAGATGGCTCTCTGGTGRGGAAGGGTGACTGTCACCTGAAAGTCAATATTTCAGAAACAGAGAGAAACCTCAGAAGGGTTGCAGCCCTGAACACTCCCACATAACACAGGTTACCCCTTCCTCTCCTTTACCTTCCAAATGGTTACCCATCAAATCCTCCTGTGTCATCTCTGTGGCCACAAGCCACGTTCGTCAGGCCAGCACCCCAATTTGCACACCATATTTCTCTACCCCAGATTATCTGCTGAAGGCTTCATTTGTAATTGCATCCAAAAGACACAACTCGTCCTTATCTCCTCCTCCATCACTGACARTACTCATTAGTGACAACCTTATGCCAAAAGCTGATGCCCAGTGGTTGCCAGGGGCCAGGCACTCTTCTSTAGACTTCATGCATATTAACATGTTCACTCTTCTCCTCAGCCCAGATGGAGGTGCTGCCAGACTCTCCACTGGACAGGTGTAGAATCTGCAGGACACTAAAGTCTGTGAAGCTGGCCACTGTCATAACATGTCCCTAACATTCTTGATAATGTTCCCAGCCTTAGCATCTCACATTCACTTACCACRTAGCTGGGCCTGTGGGGAGGGCTTTGTGGACACCAGTTCCATTGATCTTAATGATAACTTTGGCAAGGTTATAGCTTCCACCCTGTTCTGCAGCACAGAAATGATGCTGAGATAAACAACACAATAACTTGTTCAGAGCCATGCAGCTAGCTCGTGTGAGAGCCAGGTCCACTTGACTTTCACCTGTTCCCTGACACCTTTTWCCTGCCAGCTCCTCATGGAGTGTCCATGGTGGACAGCTTCTGGAATAGCTAGTCTGGAGAGGAGTCTTCTCCCAGTGGTCATGTTGGTGACCATTACCGTGTGTCCTCTGAGGCATCTTTTCATCAAAGGTCTTGACATTTTAGCAGTTATTGTACCAACTTCATTTTTGTTATGCCAGTCCACTTGGCAATAACTGGGAAATGCAATCCCCTCCCTAACTCCATTAACCACCTGTGAGAGAGCTCCTGGCAGGTCACACATCAAACTGAGAGTGATGACATCRTCCATCTCATCCTCAAGAAGCTTATAGACAGATGGCACTATTTTCTTCTGGCAATAAGGTGGCCCTCACAACCAGGTCAATTGCCCTCAGAGATGAAAGGAAGCACTCAAGGATCTTCCTGGCACATGGGAAAAGGCAGASAGTGGAGAAAAAGTCAGGGATTTGGATTTATTCTTGACCATGTCAGGCCTTACTTGAACTCCTCATCTTAATCCTCTTCCATGTGGACAATTCTGTAGGTAGAGTTTCTTCTTTGGAAGGCAAGATTCAATAAGCCAAACTGTCACTGTCATACTCAATGCACTGTCCACTGAAGCCGAGTGGCTGGCACCCACTTCCACACACGTTCTTCTAAAGCTCTTCTGGGGGAGGAGGCATGTCTTCATGAAGGACCTTTGCCACCAGCATCCATTCTAACCACAAATATAAAATACACACACACACACTCTCTCTCTCTCTCTCTCTCTCTCTCTCTCTCTCTTATATCCTAGAACCATCCCAATGAAATAGCTGTTTCTCAGGCATAGAGAAATTCACCTCTTGACTGGGAGGGGTTTTCACATCGCCCCTTGTTTGTGCTGAGGCCGCAGGGTCAAACACGGGGGCTACTTTGTTTAAATTTTATTTATTTATTTATTTTTAGGCAAGACATTTAAGAAGAAAGAGAGAAGAAGCTTAAATGGAGAAATAATGCTCTCTTTCTTGCAGACAGCAGAAGGAAATTGATATTCTCTCTGCGGTGAAAGGCCAAAATGCCATCTTTGAATTGAACTGTAAAGACTAAATTCTGAACAATTATTCTCTGCAGCAGTTGTAAAAATTTCAGCAAATTGCAGCTGTCTTAGGTCTTTCACCCAAAAGACCTCCTCGTTTCCATCAGCAGAGTTCACTCTTCCGACCTGGCATGTCCAACCTAGCACTAAATCCCCTTACAAAATCATTTCACATAACAGGACAGCCACAGCCAACGGCGGCTCAGGAAAACAGAGCACAAACACCAGACTCAACTCCAAACATCATCTTTACACATAAACCGTTTGAAAAAGTCGTAGTTTGAAATTGTTTCAGAGGCCTGGCAATGCTTTTAAAACATGATAACCATCACACTTTACTCTTCTCTGAAAGGTTAGTTTAATCGTAGATCACAAAAAATTGGTTTCCACAAATGCATAATGGTTCATCTATGTCACACTTGAACTAAATGGTTTTTTAAATGGAGCTGAAATTATTTTGATGTGTACACAGTCCTGGATTTCTATACAACCTTTTTTAACCAGCCCATCAGGAGTCTTGCCTCTAAAGCCTCATTAATAATTCAGATGTGCTGATGACTTTAAAAGATCTATGGAATTGAAGCTTAGGAAAAAAAAAAAAACTCTGCTTGACAAAAAGATAAATGAATGTAGAAAGAAGCTGTAGGAGTCTGGCAAGCTGTAKATCATCTCAGAACAGATTGTAACTTTATCATTCTGTCAGGGGGAATAATTTAAAGCACTTAATCAGTTAGCTTCACTGTGAGGATGTAGCATTATGAATTCCTATCGTCCAATCTGTTCAAATCAAAGTGAACTTAATTATAATAGGTGAGAGAGCCAGAGCAGGAGGGGGTGTGGGGAGAACGATGCAAGAGGTAGCAAGTGTCCTGAGGGGTAAACTGAGCTGTTGAACAAAGGGGAGTGAGGCTTTTACCCAGGCACACCCCAGCTCCAGAGATGGCTGCCAGGGCTCAGCACACTAGAAATACCAAGAGTGTGGACCAAGGAGAAGTGAGCAGAGTGGCCATGAGCTGATCGTAGATGCTTAATTTATAAACTATCAGTCAAACACACACCACACACACACACACACACACACACACACACACACACACACACCAAGCCAGTAGCCATTTTTATTGACATTAGTCCAGAACCACTGAGAAGGCAGTTGCGAATTTTTATATAGGCAGAGGAGGAAACGGGAGAGGCCATTGTCTCCAAAGCAGTGAGTGTGCCTGAAAGCTTTTTCCCTTTTACTTTCCTTTCCCTAAGCCACTAAAATGAAGCATAAGATTCCCCCATGTTAGAACGTCCCATTTGACCAGTCCCTTCCTATCTATCCACATGGCCAGTTTCCCAGAATATTTCAATCCTAGAAAGAGGTGGGGATGARAGTGGAGTTTTGTGAAAATTGCACGGCTCTGCTAAGAGGATGCTAGGCCACTTTTCCTTTCACCCCAGCCCCCAACACCCTGACTCAGCAGTCTCCACTCCTGTGCTCGGGGAGGAAATTAGATGCCAAGATTTCATCCAGCTCCCTTGTTGATGGCTTGGATTATTAGAGTTGGTTAAGATGGTGCCACTTGGAACCTTTTCATAACTTTATACCAATACAGAGTTCGCATTCTTGAAACAAAAGCTATCTCAAAATATTGTTTAAAACACTGGTTGCTATTCTGGTTTTTCACTCTCATTGGCCAGCAAATTCTGTGGGTTTCCTTTGCGAACCCCAAAGGTGGATGCAAAAGAAACAGAAGGGGTATAATTGGCATATGCCTTTCTGTCGGCTTATTATAAGCAAAAGGCTGGGAAGAGGCAATGCTGCAGAAGATTCTAGATCATTTGTTCTGCAGCAGGGATGATATCCCTCTGCTCCATCCAATAGACGATGCACAGATCTTTCCTCAGGCACAATGTCTGTACATGATATCTGATATATGCAGCATCTCCTCCCCGCCAAAGTTTTCCAGGCCACTAAAGTAACTTCAGAGAACATTCCAGAGCTCATCTTCCAATCCCTCCTCATTCTCTGAGGTCTACCCATGGTGCCTCCTAGTCCCAGTGGCACATCTTGTTCCTCACTTGCTACAGGAAGCAGAGGTATGTTTCAGGTCTTGGGGTCCTGCCTACACTGCACTCTCTCTCTCAGCAATTACTCACTGGCAGCTTCTATTGATTACCTTTTGCATTTTTCAATGAACTTTCCAAAAGCTTTACCCTAGGACTAATTAAGCTTCTCATTTCTCCTTCTTGTTCTCTATCCATTTTGCCCTTTAGCAGAAAAGAAATGGTTTACAGATGAACCGGATAATGCCTATCCCAGAAACATTCAAATCAAGCCCATGAGTACCCACATGGCTAACCAGATCAACCAATATAAATCCACAAGCAGCTTGATTCCTCCAATCAGAGAAGTTGAAGATGAATGTTGACTCCCAGGAGACCAGAACTATTTTTTTAAAGCCTGACAAACTTCATAAATGGTGATGTGACTTTTCTTCCTCCTACATGCTGACTCACTGGTGGAGACGTTAGGATAAGCAAGAATTGCAAGAAAATWAAGTAGACAGATCTTTCTCTTTGTCTGCCTTGAATATTGCTTCCATGTATTTTGGAAAAGAAAATGATTTCATTTATAAATGAACATACTGAAATAGTCATGTATAGCCTCTAGCATTTTAAATTATTTTTATTTATTAGAAAGAAAATATATTTTTTCTTTTTTTTCCCCATTGTCAGATATCTTCCCTATATCAAAACAATGCAAAATCAAAATGAATGAGTGGCCAGACTCCTTGATGCCTATTTGTCTTCTTTCTCTCTTTTTCTTTGAGGAGAATGATGGTCACTACCACCATTAATTATGATTAAAGGGAATGGATTATTAAAACAATTTTAAAATGGTCAACAGTGTATACATGTATTTTAGTAAATCCAGAAAAGAGGACAAAAGAGGGCAGGTGACTACCTGCTCCTCTCCTGGATGGGTGTGTATTTGGATCTGCATTGACACCAGCTCTTAATAAATGGAAACTTGTTTATTTTCACAATTGAAAGTAAARTTTTTGTAGTTTTAGTTTTCCTTCTGTATTTCTCATCCCTCTGTTCATATATCTAAAGTGAAGACCTTCTTCCAGCTTTTCTATGATTTCCAGATCAGATTTAGCCAGCCAATTATACTGGGAAGGTTGGGCCTGCCTGGGATGTGGAAGTTGAGATTCACTCAAGACATGGCTCTGTTGGTTGTTCTAATAGCGGGGACTCCTACGTGTTGTTCTGCTTCTCATTTCATATTTCCAAACCACATGAGCAAGTAATTTCAACTTTGGGTGCAGCTGGTGAACTTTCTTTCCCACCCTAAGACTCAGAGCTTTTAGCCTGAAAGTTTGTAAACACTAATGAGCAGTAGTTTCAAAAATAGAATCTCAGAGGCACTCATTTTTCTCATTGAGTATTTTTTTTAAAAGCCAGAAAAATTCCATGACCAAGGAGGCAACTTTTGACCAGATTTTAATCTATTTATTGGCTTTTCAGATTTAGTTACTAGGACAAAACACACAAACTTGCTAACATGATTTTTAAAATAACAACAAAAAGGAAAGCAACAAATGCACTTAACATAGACTGTTAGAAATAGGCCTTTGAAAATTACCAGCAATGAAATAAAATGTATCAGCCACTACAAACGGTGGTCAAAGATTTTTCTAGCCATCAGATGCAATCATGATGTCTCAGAGCTCTGCTGTCACTTGCATGCTCAGTGTCTAGATGCCACCACCACTGTTCTGTTCCAACAACTCAGCAAGTGTCTCAACTTCAAAATTATCCATCTTGCATATGCTCATCAGGGTCTCTGGAGAAGCATGAATGTGATAGTGATTTTAATTTTCTTAAAAATGTAAACTGTGGACACTTGACCAAAATAACCAAAATTTCCTTTAAAGTCCCATGATATCTATTCCATTCACTCTGTAGGTCATGACCCTGTGGTACCTAGTGATGGTAGTGCAAATCAGATCAGAGCAAAGCAATGAGATCACATGAAAACATATGTCCACTGAGTACTCCAATTACCAACGTAGGCAAAATGAGCTTCCACCTCTGTCCACTCCCTGCAGAGCCAATCTAGTTGTGCTTCCACGTCGTAGGCATCGTCCTGCAGTGACTTGTCAGACTGTGGTTACTCTGTTGTCACCTTTCGTAGAATTAGTTCTATAAAAGTATTGTGAATATAACGTACGTCCAATTGGATTGTTAAAAAACTACTTATAATCAATCACTAGTCAGCAGACTAAAATGATGTCAACACACTATATCCAGGCTTATAAACATTTCCTGGTTTCCAACAGAAGTCAAACATGTTCCTGGGGACAATCCCCTGCTAGGATATTGACAGCTTTCCTGAAAGCTAGGCCTTCTTTTACATAATGATTTTTGCAATGGGGTCACCTTAGTACATTTGCACCTGCGCGCTCTTCTTTCCTTCATGAACCGTAGTGGGCTCTATTTCACTCTTGTTCCTAATCACCACCTCTGAATGTGCTGTAGTTCATTGGTCTCCTCTGGCAGGCAAGGGTAACCATTGAAAGAATCTTCTATTAGAAGAATATGGGGCAGAGTGCTCCATGTAATCCCCTCATCCCTGCCCCTTCATACCTAGGAAGGCTGGAAACAGAAGTGTAAACTCCACTCCAAGTCAAGTCCCTTTATGTATAGAGATTTTAATCTAAACTTTAAAAACAAAACAAAACAAAACAAAAAACCCATAATGACAAAAATAGCTTCCCACGGTGAAGGGCTCCTTGGTTCATCAAGCATCCTCCAAAACCAAGGTGGTAGAAATACATTTTCTTCTAATGTAGAGCAATAAGTTCATGCTGTTTCAACTTTGGATAATGAATTGCCCTGGGCCAGAAAGCAAAAGCAGGCATTTCTTTAAAAAAGAGGTATGGGCAAAATCTATAGGTAGTGGCCCCTTGACAAAAATTGACACCTGGTAAGTTGAAAGTGAAATGGAAACAAAAATAAAATCTGTAGCATCTCTGGGGTGCACAAGGAAATACCTTGATTTATATGTCTGTTGAGCTCTCTGTCCCTGAGCCCTCATCCATCTGTGCTGTGAAAGACTATCTTGCCACCTACATCCACCTGAGACCAGTGGTGATCTTCTTTGGCATAGTCTTTGCTATAGGGATCTGATCTCCCATCCCAGTCCAGGGTTCCAGAAAAGCCATTTTTTCAAACTAGTACAACTTGGGTTCTTGGTAGTCAGACTCACCAACAGGCTGTTTATAAGGCAGAAAACTTACTTAGAAGTTCATCTGAACCAGCATCACCTTTATCATTGAGCGAATAATTATTTTTCTAAGTTATTTTATATTTGAGAATATTGTTTTGAACCAATATAAAACACATTAAATAAGAGTGTGACTAATTCATGTTGGGGAACACTCAGGAGTGCCTTCCTCCTAAGAGTTATGACATCTTAAGACATACTTTATAAAAAAAGAAATTGATGGAAGAACACTTCAAATAAACAAAGAATTATAGCTGCTTGTTTGGGGTTAGAAAGGGGGCAAATGAGAATCCATATAAAATTAGGGACATTTTCATGTGGGAAGCAAATGTGTCCTACTGATAGTCTCAGGGTTCAAGAGCAAAATCTGCATAAAACTAGTTATGAACTTTGAAAATGTATTTTAAACTTCCCAAGTCTCAGTGACCTTAAAATGAAGGTAATTCATAGAGATGGCTCCAAGGTCCTTCTCAGATCTGAGAGGACATGATCTAAAGTAGGAGTGGGATCATAGAAGTGGCTGCCTGTCCTTGGCCAGCTCCTTGGAGTCAATCTTGTCCAGGGTTGTTCAGGGTTGGATGGTCCATCCAGCTGTATCACCCATGTGGAATTCCTGACCTGAAGATAGTATATGTTTTCTGCTCTGGACATAGGCTGGTCAGGTTCATTCCTCTGCTTTTCAGTTTGGAAGACTGTTAGATTCAAGATGCAAAATTATTAGTTCAAATTCACCTGAATTGCATTGATCCAATTGTTCTGCATGTTTCTAGGTTTGTATTCTCAATCTCATCCCTACCTTCCCTTTCCCTTGGTTCAAGGCCCAGTTTTGACTAATTCCCTCATCTCTATCCCACACCTCCAATGTCCAGTATGTAGTTAGAGATTTGAGACTCCTCAAATTCCTGAAATTATTCCTGTTTATGTTTTCTCATGTAGATCTGGGCTTCAGGAAGTAATCTATCTTACTCCTCATTCAATTTCCTCTGTATTTGATTTTTTTTCATTAATATACCAAATATCTCTTTGTAATTTTGGTCTATCATTTTAATTGTCAAAGAGAACCTCACTGAAAGAATGAAAGACTGAGAAGAGGAAGAAAGATAGAAAGAGAGAAAAAGACTATTCATTAAATTGGGATGTGAGCCACCTTGACATGTGTTCAGCTTGAACACTGAATTTCAGTACATAATCTGTCCTTTTCTATTCTGTTCCTATATGTTGCTTTTGTAATGATGGTAAAGCCACCAATCACCAGGGCCCTTGAAAAGTGTTCAGTGATTAGGACTTGACCCACTTTCTTTAGAAAACAAAATAAACAGAGAATTCACTTTTAAACTTCCTGACAAAAGATTTCCTGCCCATCTCCTATTCATGTTGTGTTGCCAAAGAGCATTTTTTTTCTACCCACCAGAGATGATTCAATATTTAAATCCCATCATCATTAAAGGAACTGATAAGGTCCTTTGGCTTTATTTATGGGAGAGTCATAGTTAGAAATGATTTCTAGCTGATTTGTATTAGTGTGGCCATGCTGATTATACAAGTAGAGTCCATCCTGATTACTTGCTGCCCATGTAGTACCAGTTGTGAATAATTTCACTATAGTCATAAAATAAGACAATGCAGAGAAATTTAAAATTTTATTTCTCAATGGACTACAGAATCTACTTTGTCATTCTTTCAGTGAACTTGTTTAAATCTTTATGTGCTCAAAGTTAGCAACCCCTTGAGCCCCACAATTCTTGAAGGTTTCACAATATTGTAGTCCCACATGGCTAGACTGGAGAAAGAATTCTGAGTCAGACTATCTTTACAGAACTTCCTCTTTTGTTGCTTAATTTTAGCATGAAAATGGATTTGTGACTCTTTATCTAAAGGGGAAACTCAGGACGTACATTAAAGAACTGGGAAGAAAGAACAAAATGAAAGAGGTACAGACAGTATTTTATGGTACCCTGAGCCAAGAGCATGCAAGTGCTGCCAAGAGCTAGAGCTTGGAGTTGAAGGGAAGAAAAGGTTGCATTGACCTGTGGGCTTGGAATAATGCAGAGGAATATAATGTTTGGAGGTATTTCAATGGAAAATAGGAAACCGGACTGTAAAGATGTAGATTATGAGTACTTTTCACGGAGAAGGATTAATGGGCTACAGTGCATTGGTAGGAATGTGATTTCAAGACCACTAGCTAGACCATTTTGTCCACACTGATAAGTGTGTAGGGGAGCTAATAAAAACTAAAATGAGACCCGATGGAAAGGACAAGTAGTTCAAGGGCCAAACTAAAAAGTTTAGAGTTTATTTTAAAAGTCATAGAGAGCCAATAAAGGTTTTAAACAAAGAGCCTGTGCATTGTTTAGGTTGAAAATTGAGATGTTGGTTATGTCTGGACATCTCAGAGAAAGTGTGGACTCTGTGGCTCAGCATTCCCTCAGCAGCATAAAGTCCTAAGGGCTATGCATCCATGCTGATAACTCACCATGTGCACACTCTGCTCCCTGTTGTGGGGCATATGAACACAGATGTCCTGCACTATTTAATTATTAGAATGTCAGCCACAGATCCATCAAGAAAACTAAAGTGAAGGAGTAGGTTTTTACATATTTTTAAAAACATCTTCCAATTATACTATTTTCTGGGCATTAATAATTTAAGAACATGAGATAGGCCATCAACAAATTGTACAGCATGGTTATTAGTCTAGAAGTGCCAGGTATGGATTCCTGTTATTAAAACATCCTGCCAAGTAATCAGGTAGCCATAGTTCAGTAACCATTTAGTAAATATTTGGAAAGGAAATGGGACAGGACAGCGGGATGAGTACAGTATAGATCCTCCTATAATCCAACCCATACCAGAAACACATAGAGCCTTTAGAGACAGTACCACCTTACAGTAATGGCAGGAGTTAGAACAAGGGAGATGTGCTATGGTTTGAAGTGGTTCAGCAAGAAGGGCTTAGGAGTTAGGTCAGTAGAGAGACAGCATTGCAGGGCTAAAGACAGGACCATCTGGTATATGGTAGTACAGGTGATGTTAATCAGTAACAGCTAATGGAGATTTATTGAGTAGCCACCGATTACTCATTGTCTGGTAAAACTTTTAGAGAAAGCTAACACACCTGCCTAACTAGGAACACAAGACACACATATATGAAGAAGAGCATGTTGCATAAAACAGGTGTTCTATAAATACTTTTTGAATATATGAAAATAGTGAGCAGTGAATATGGTCATGGATCATAGTGGCTGTGGATGCTTGGCTGGGGTTGCAGGGCTGGGTGTTGGTATCAGGCTACAGGTTATAGGAAAAGGTTCCTTGTGAAAGTAATGCTTCATTCAGACCTTAAGGGCAGGGCCATGCAGAGGACTAGAAAGAAGAAAAGAGGACTGCAAGGGGAATGACCCAATGCAGACATCTGGGAAATGTGCTGCATGCATCCAGAGTAGAAGGGGCAGAGAGCCATTCATAAGAGAAGACCCCATAAGCAGAGGGTGGAGAAGGAGCAGCTGAGAAGAGATTGAAGCAGACCTCATAGATGTAGGAACCAGGTCCTTACAGAAGTCCTAAACAGAGGGAGCTTGGATGAATTCTCCAAAAGAGAAARTGTAGGTTTGGAAGATCAGTTGGTAGAACTGTTTGGGAGGTGAAACCATAACTTCAGGGGCTTAAAAAGAGAAAAATAAATTGATGTCCTTGGAATAAGAGATCTGGTACTCAAGTACCAGGGAAAAGGAAACAAGAGAGAAAAATTCTGAGAGGCTGAGTCTTTTATGAGCGCAGAGATGAGGGGATTGGAGATGATGACTCAGATGTAAAGGACTCACTGGAAAGAAGGTAGCACCTTTGCTTGTTCATCTTTATCTCCAGAGCTTGGCACAAAGCCTGGTCTGGATGGAAAGACAGCTGGCCACTTTGGGTTACTCTGGAAACCTTGGAAATGGAGGGAGCACAGGACACATCATTTGCTGTACTCTTTTGTGGAGGATTCAAAACAGAGGGATCTTGATGTGGCCCTTCTTTCATCTCCTATTCATGTCACTTCATTGCTCCTTGTCCCTCCTTGCAGAGTGCACACTGGCAGCTTTAGTTTCAGGGACCTTAAGACAAATGCTACAATCATCTTGCTTTGATGGCTTTTCTGAACTGGGAATATAAGGCGAGATGTTTTGGCCAGATGAAAAATGACCTTATTTCTAGATAAAATTTAAATGTATCCCCTTGAGGACTTCTGTGTTTCCTCTTGTCCTCTACCTTGCTTTTCAGCAGAACAGGGATGAAAGGGACACCAAAGCTCTCCAAGGCCTGCCTTAGGATGCACTGCTGGCCCCACGGTAGATGTCCCTATGCAGCACACACGCCTGCCAGAGACCCCAGAGCTTCCCTCATGTGGGATTTAGGGTCACTGTGAGAAGGCAGTTGCAAGGAAAGGAGGCCTGCTAATAAGGGGGACCAAGCCCCGCTTCTACACTAAACCAGAGCCCTGCTGCCCCAGAGCGACTCCTTCTCTCCCCTTCCTTGCACTGAACACGTGTTTGACCAGAACTGCAACATTTCAAACATAAAGCAAGATCTGCCTGGAAATCCTAATTAAAAGTGTTCCACTCCCAAGTGGCACAGTCACATCCTGCCTAAAGCTTCTGGCCCGCATCCCACCACCCAGACGCCAAAAGGAAACATCCCCCCACTTAACACCAAACCCTGTACTCCAAGTTTCCGCAGGGGACAAAGGAGGAAAAAAAAAAAAGGTGCACATAAGCAGAGGTCAGCCCCCAGGTTCATTAAGGAAAAAGAGCGTGGCTTATTCATCTGTCTTTCACACTTTGATCGCTGGCATGATGATTGTGGTTATGATGAATTACTATGACCGAACAGGAATTGGAGAAGAGAATAAATGCTGGTGCTCTGAAATGACCTGCCCAACTCTGTCATCTGTAACAACCAGTGATAACTCTCTCGTCTTGTAAAAAGGGTTTGTACATAACTTGTACATGGTTTCATTTTTGTATTTTTCGCAGATTAAAAATTTATGTATTTGTGTTCTAAACAAAGAGTGTTTCTTGTGTCTTCATAGCAGTCACATGGCTATGCGGTTATGGGGTGTGGTGGTGGCAAAGTCCCTAGGTTCCCTGTGGGTTGTTCTTGTTCTGTTCTCCACCCCCCACCCTTACTGATGAGGGCAAACTTGTGGGAGGACAGTAGTCATGAGCTTGCCTTCCCCACTGCAAGAAGACTTGGTGCTGCTCAAGAATGTGGGGGGAACTGGGGGAGTCGAAGAGCTACTACCACTAGTGTCATGCTGCTGCAGAAGCCTCCAGCAAGCAAGCTTATAAAGAAAGAGGTAGCATGTGATAGACATTCGAGAAGCAAGGACCGTCTCACCTCAGCCTCCTTCTCTTAAGCTAGTTATCCTTTTCTGCCATCTTCACAAAGAAGAAATGTTGGTTTCCCCTGCCTTTAGCTTGTCAAAACCCAGGACTGTCTGTAGCTGGCTTGATCCATACACCACCCCTTCCTTCCTGACTGCCCCTGAACCCCTGCCACTGTCACCATGTCTGACCCCTAGTAGGGCCATGGATGACACTTTGTTTCCAGGCAAAAGAGGAGAGACCTCTTAAATGCTGAAGTTGAGGTCCATGAGTTAGATCTTCAGCTCTAAATCAGAATGTATTATGTATAGAACCTATTGGTACTTAAAGTCTTCTAGAGATTGTCTCATTGATTCATTAGGCAATTGTTAATGTTCACATCCTCTACTAGGAGCTGGGGATATGCTAACAAGTAATGTCATGACTCCAGCTCTCCAGTCTGGGGAGGGATGGCACCAACGATGAGCAGACACTAATCCCATATGAAAAACTGATCTATAGGAGTAAGTACAGCATGCCACCAGGAAGACATGAGGGGCACTTAGCTATTTAAAGAACAATCCTCCAATTGATTGATACTTTAAAAAAAAAAAATCTCCCTTGTAGCTAAGACAATAACAGCCCAAACCAGAACTCACTCCCAGGGGTCAGCAAATGTAGGCTTACCTGTCAGAATGTGCCAGTTCCTGACAGTCCTTTGAGCTCCAGATTCTCTACTTGCCTTCTCCAATATTTGCTAACAAAACTGAATGTTGTTGGGGAATGTGATTGCGGAACATATGGTTCCCATTAGTTAGGCAAACTCCACTGCCAAATTCAGCTCCAAGGAAGGAGTCTGCATAAACGATGAAGTATTAGGGAAAGATTGACAGTGACAGAGAAGGCAAACAGAGAGATGAGACAGCGAGTTACAAAATAGCAGGCTCCGCAAACCCAGCACTAAGAGTGGGGAACATATTTTTCTATTTGTTGAGAAAACAAAATATGTGAATTTGTACTAAAATCTCTCTGTAGTAAAAATCAAAGTAGACCATTCACCAAAATCAATGTTAACTGCTTTGCAATGTCACAGAAGATAGATTCTGCCTGGGAGAAAAACGTTGGGGGAACAGAATAGACAGTATGCTAGGGAACAATGCAGAAATGCCTTGTACATGCAAATATGAACTAGGCTCTATTTTAAATGTTGCTGGGACTGGGTCTTTGACAGGAGAAATAGGATACCCTGCTTAGCAAGCTTTCACATTCTGAAAATGCCGGCTGAAAGTCAGAGATACAAGGAAACCCAAGATCTGGAAAAGATGTTTGGACAACATGGGAGCATAGGGCATTGTGGGAGAGAAAGCAGCTCCTCAGCCCTGTTCAGCTTCAGAAAAGTCCCAGAGGGAACAGGGCAGTGCTTAAGCACAGACTCAGCCAGGTTCCATGCCTGGCTCTTTCCAGAGGGCTAATGTGGGCCTTCACCCTTCTTCTTCTTCACAGACTTGTAAGCAAGTCTGTGATGATTATCCTGACCCAGACTTAATTTGACAGATTTTTTAAAAAGAAATTTGCCTTAATCAGCTCTTTCCAAAAATAACTTAATTTTTGTAGAATCAATAGCTTCCTTCTTGTACTTCTGTTTCTTGGTTGAGATGCTATTTAATTCAATGGCATACAAGTCCAAATGTTTAAACTACCATGGGATGGCTAAGCTCAGCTGGTAAAAGCACAGGGCATGGTGAAATAAGATGCAGCCTACAAGGCACACAGTTTCAGTGCCCACAGGAAGCAGCAAGCTTGTTCACAAGGAAAGGAGAGAGACACCAGCCAGTCCTGCTAGCTGAGGAGTTGCGCATGGTACAGAGAGATTCGAGTGGAAATGAACTTCAATATCTGTCAATGGGGAGTCAGTGCCATGAATTGATTCATCTATCMCACGGAGTACCAGGCAGCCAATACAAAAGACAAGGTAGATCTAAGTACATCAGGGTTTGGCACACTTTGTCTGAAAGGCCAAAGGCTGCCTGCTTGTTTTTTAAATTAAATTTTATTGAAACCTAGCTATGCCCATTCATTTACATATTGCTTGTGGCTGACTTCCTGCTGCAATAGCAGGGTTGAATTGTGACAGAATCTAGAGAACCTATAAAGCATAAAAGATTTACTATTTTACTTTTTACAAAAAAAAAAAATAAGGTTTGCTAACTCTTGATCTATGTTGCATATAGGGAGAAAATAAAATCTAATAGGATCCCATTTGAGTYAAACAATTAAGTATATTTATACCTTTACTAAAATCTGGAGGGAAATAAAGTCAGGTTTTAAACAGTAATTATCAWGGTAGGCAAGAAGCAGAGGGAAAAGGTTTAGAGACTTATGAGGGCCTTTAGCAGTTTACATTATACATTTCTGTTTTGTTCGGGTTTATGTTGATCAAACATGCATGGTTTTTATCATCAGGAAAAAGCCTAAAGATACTTCTTTTTAGGGAAAATTAATAACAGTCTAAGACTCCACTGATGTAAGTGGCTTTACTAGGGTGGGAATCCAGTTCTTCCACAAACCACCCCAGGCTCTTCATACAGGCCCATGTCCCATGTGGCCTGTATACAGCAAGCAAGCATGAGATAGTGACAGTTTTTCCAGTTCTGAGTTGGCCACGGTTGTTGAGGTCTGGACCTGCCAGGTAGCAATCCTGTCTCTCAATTCTACAATGAGTCATTCTTCCTATAATTGCGTCTCCAGCTCCAACACAGCACCCTCTRCACACCTGCTGAAGGAGTCTGTGGRATTGAGCCACCTGACTCTGAGCCTGGGGCTGTGCTCCTCCTCAGGCTCATCCTGCCAGTCTCACCTGGGACCTGGCCTCATTTTGTTTTGTAGGGTCTTTTTAAATTGAGGTATCTTTCCAAGGAATGATATACCCTCCAAGGATCTTTTACCTAACAACTATTAATTAATTCATTATAATAGATCATTCATACGYATGACATACATTTTTAAAGGTATGCAATAAATAAATGGTAAAATTAAATCTCACCTTTCATTTCTGACTTAGACACTCAACTCACTTTTCTAGAGACAACCATAGTTAATTGTTTCCTTATCCTCCCAGAAGGACTATATATGTATAAGCATAAATAACCCAAGCATGACATGCTACACACTTTATAACACTTTGCATGCAGTCTAAATGGATTTTCATAACAATATAATATGCAGATTACTTTTGTTTATCCATTGATCTTTCTAAGGGCTGCATAATATTCCTCATAGAAAGTAACTTGTTTAACTTTTTTTCCTCTTACCAAAGTTAGGTTGTTTCACTGTTCTACTGTTTTACCTACAGCTTCAGGGAACATTCTGTGCATATATATTTRTGTACAAATGTGAAAGAAGTAGTAAGATTGATTTCCAGTTGCGGAATTGCCCTGTTACTTTTTAAAAACATTTCRAGTGTATTGGTATTGCCAAGTTATCCCTCAAAGATGGTCCCTTAAATCATAATTCTACCATCATTAAGCCTCTAGCTTTCCACATTCCCTTTGACATGGTATATTATCTAGGATTCTTTTCTTGCYCTACTAAAAGTTGACCTTGAGAATTAAAAGTCCAGCAGGCAGTTAGTTATAGGCTTGGCTGATTCCACAGCTCAACATCATTGCCAAGAGCCCAGGTACTTTCCATTTTTGTGTTCTGCTGTTTTATCATGTTGGAAGTGACTGTGCCATGCCGAAGGATGGCTACAGCTACGTCAGTGGCCACATGTAGACACAGTAGGTCCTATGAAAACGGAGAAGAATTTCTCTCAGAGGCCT